TAAAGCTAAGACACAAGTCTGATCCATGCTGACCAATTGTTGAGCAAAGGATTTATCGTACGCCTGTTGTTTGGTTCAAGTTTCTTCATCCTCGAAGTACAATTTTAAAGATATTTTCAGTATTTCAGTATTATAACTGACCTTAATTGTGTTACAGATCTGTCGCAGCCATCCAGTCGAGGGCCATCACTTGTTCACCACAGCCATGATGAAGTTGCCCGAACTGCGGCAACTTGGCGCTCGGCATTGGCAACACTTGGATTGGTTCAGGTCCAATTGGCACCGACTCAAGCTCCCGCCGCTTTACGCCGAGATCTTCGACATTCCCAAGTCCGAGACTGAGCTGCATCATTTATGAAAATTCTCCCATCAGTCATATCGCCAGTTTTTGTTCGCTTTGGTTTTTGTTTTCATCTTCGTCTCAAAAGTTTTCTTTCGTTTTCCAAGGTGAAACCGAAACAAGTTGATGAGCGTATGTGTGTCTCGTGTATGTGTGCATGCATGGTTCTTAAATTTTTTGAGAAGTTATTTGTACCGCTTATGCTGTTCCTCTGTCGTTGTTTAAAAGCAATTTTCAGATTTTTTTTTCTGTCTTAACAAACAGGAAACTGTCAGGCAAACGATGACATACCGTAACAAAATTACGATGACTATGGTTATCTTTTCGCCAGGGAGAATATTTACGAGGTGTTTCAAGCAAAGCAAGTTATTTCTTTCATTCTTCCCGAATGGAACCCACTCCTCTCAATCTCTTCCGTGTGTTGTCAATACTTTTCTAAAGTTTTGAAATCGTATCCACAAAATTACTAAAATAGGAAGTCCAAAAAACTATACTGATGCCATGTGCAATGATAATCCAACTGATTCATTTTTAAACTTCGTTATTTCGTTCGTGGTTTAGTGCTGCTGTGGGTATAGGTACCACTGATAATCAATTTTGTATTCCATCCTGATACGAATTAATTTCAAGTTCAAGCATCTGCGTGCTGTTTTCATGAGCGATGCTAAGGAAAAGTATGCAAAGGTTGACAAGATAATTTAATAGATTGGCAATCACGCGTTATTTTATTTTTTGCTGAATTCCTCATCACTCTCTTAATTGACCCATATGCATCGTTCGATGGTGATGCGAGTTTACCTGGAGTTTATTCAGAAGTTCCAATGATGAAAAAAATTCTTACTATTGTATGCTTATTTTGCAGTAACTTTTTGAAGGCCCTATTTGGGTAATTTTTCTTTTTCGACTGAAAACCCCTCGGCAAAGAGACAAAAGCCTTTTTTTCATTCTCGGGCAGCCACCACGGAGAGCTTTTTTTGGCACTAACATGCTCAGCCTTGGAATATAAGCTTGCACTGAAGAGTTCAGAAGGTTCTGTAAAATGCATCGGTTGGGGGCTTGGGAATAGAAAAGGAAATTTGTCTTTACCGTGCGTCAATTCCTCGTAGCGGTTGGGAACAGGAGCCATATGTATGAAGGAAAGAAAAATGTTCCGTCCAGGGGAAAGCACTACCAAAAATTCTCACGGTCGTTGTTGAGGATGGTCAAAATTTTTGCCGAATCCTTCTTCGCGTGATCTGAATTAATTTCAAGGGCGGAAACGGGGTATGCTCTTCTTTTCAGGACAGCGTTGTTTCTTATATACAGTACATGAAAAAATATTGAATCAAAAGGGTTTGTGCTCTCATCTTACTCCGAATACACATTTTTCTAGCTCAAAATAAAGCGTCTTTTTGCGACAAGAATACCATCTGTATGCCATTGAGAAATTCTGAAAGACTTCGAATTTTTAGCAGCTACTGTACACTTTTTTCCAAGTTTGAATAAATGTCAAAAGAAGAAATTAAAAAAAGCTATGAAACTTTAAAAACTTGATAAACAGACTCAGACAACCTTATTTTTGTTTTTTCGACAAAAAATTGAGGCGTCGCCAAGTTTAGAGCATTATGCCGATAAAATAATTGTTTGATTCCACTTCCAGTAATTCTGTTTAGTCAGTCAGCTGCTTGAACAACAGAATTTTTTCAAGTTGAGGAACAAAACTGGCGTCTACTTTACTTGAATTGAAGCGTTTTATAATTCAAACACGTCCATGAGTGTTCACTCAAGTATAGGCTTCAAAATTGAAAAATACTAACAGAACAGGAGGAAAATTTCTGATTTATTGAAACAAAAAAGCCTAATCTGGTATCAGTGCGTAAAAAAAAAACAAAGCAGAGTCCTGGAAAATTGAATGTATCCTCGGCAACGACCGTAATCTGGGCTTGGGTTCTTCTCACACGTCTTACTGGGTGGATTCCCTGGTGAAAATCAGCCCCTCTGGATCCTTTTATGTGTTTCTGTCAGCCAGTTACTTCAATTGCGTGAAATAGAGAGTTCATCAAAAGAATCACCGCAAATTCAAAGACCGGATTCCTCTACAACGTTTTCTGCTGCGAGATTTTTAAACTTAGTCTAGGTCAATTCAGCTTTCTGTTTCTTGTGTCTGGAATTCTCAAATACCACTCTCGCCTGGAATTATCAAATGTTCCTTTTTTCAATAATGTCTCAGGGATGATGAGATAAAAGTACTGCTTCTTATTCTTTGTTACAGATGGTTATGTATTGAAAGGTGTTGCATATGGTAGAAATTGTGCGATGGGGGGAAATAGAGGAAGAGACAAAGCCTTGAGGAAAAAAACAATCATTCGGGTTCAAGTTTCGCATCACTTTTTTGACTAAATGTGCCTCGTTGTCTGCAACAGTTGATTGCTTGTTTCTTATACTTGTTGCTTCGAATCATGTGACAACGTGCCTGCTGTTTTTCTACTTGGCCTGGGGAAATTTTTTGGTCTTATACGCTTCCCCGAAGGTTTTTTTTTTTCCTTGATGTTAATAACTTTTGCTGCTTTGATATTGAATGGGCCGGGATTTCAGTGTTGCAGTGTTGTTGTTTTTTATAAGAGCTCTGAATACTTAAACCCTTGAGCTCGTACATATTTTGAAGGGCGGGAAGTTGAAAGTTAAGTGCACTGTGTCTCTTGGAAAGCAGCAGTAACACAGTTTGGTTCACATTCCAATAAGAGGTTATATTCCCGTAGGATGGGTTGAAAAAAAAAAGTCGGCAACTTCTGGTAGTAGTATGACGAGATGAATGGGTAAATGGGTTGTTCATTTCACTTTTGTACTTTTAAAACACGGTTTTGAGAGCTTTGGGATATCCTGTTTAATCTAAGATCACTGAAATTACAACCTGATACTGTATATAAACAGCCAAAGTTCAAACTTATACGGAAAAACAGAAATCGCATCAATTCTCAATACCTCCTCATAAAATGCATCATTAAATGTGGAAAAACGCAACCTCATCTGCACAATTCTTTGATTTTATTCAAATAAAAAATTGCTGAGCAAAAATACGTGAATTGGAATCCCTTTAGATTTATGAGTTCAATTTTACGTGATTCTTCAACTGCTGGAAAGAAAGTTTTTTTTTCCAACGTTTTCTTCTCTTGGCGAAGATGAAGGGAAATTTGTATTTTCAGCGTACGTATATCATCTTACAACTTCAGAAAGATCCCCAGAAGACAAAAATACTTGATTAACTTGACTGAGAGCAGGGATCATGAGTCTTCAAATTTATTCTATGCTTAATTCACATGAAATAATATTTGCCGGCAGATTTACGCCCATATTTTATATTTCTGCACATGGGTACTTGTAAAAGTAGGAATCCTTGTAATGTAACTGGAAGGTGAAAGAAGGAAAGCAATTCATTAGTTGATTCATCTCGTCATTACAATGCCAGACTATTCTCTCACGGCCCATCCTGTACTCAAGATCCAAGGAATCGTGATGCGTTGCGATTTAGTTTTTTTTTTCGTCTCGTTTTGTGTCGGGAAATTTGGTTTTTGCAGTGCTAATTTTGTTACCATGAGCTGCTGGGGGAAGGGCGAAGAAGGAATGGTTGGTTGAAAAAGAAGAAAGAAAACGCAGTCCCGTAAGTATCAAGTTAACGCAGAAGTTACCAATGACTTGGTCTTCGGGACTGACGAAGACCTTACGACGCAGAATCTCAACTGTCTACTTCAGATCAAATTCCGTCCCGCTTTCTTCAAAGCGTCCGGGTAAAATGAAAAAAGGAAAGATTCGACGCAAAATTAACCCTCGCGACGAACATATGCGAATTTGATGAAAGGGAAATTTGAGGCGCACTGTGATAATTTACTGGGTCACAAGGCGAAATTGAATCAAGCCGTGCATTTTTTCTTTCTTGCCGAACTTAACAATATTTGAAGTTGTTTTTTTTTCCTCAATGTGCTGGGTGTGCTGGAATCATGTTAGAGAAACGAATCACTGTTTGCCGTACATATACCGCAGATTTATTGCCGTTTTTCGTGTCAAAAAAATGCTTGTGATGATGTGTTTTTTTGTTGTTGCTCGTTTTAACGCATTTCAGAAGGATATTTGCGCGAATTAGCCATTAAGCGATGCAATGGAGATGTTATTGATGTACCCTGAACCCGGTACCTTGTTTTACGTTACACGTTGAGATTTCAATCGATGTTTGTTAACGCAAGATTGCTCAGGGCATGGAAGACAAAAATTGGTTGCGCGTTGTTTTTTTTTTTTGTGTACGATGATTTTGCGAAGGTTGTTGATTTTTGCGGGGTTGCTGCTTCACAAAATATGACGGAAGGACATTTGCAGCTATTTTTTGTTACGGTAATGTTCAGCTTAATGAGTCCTGATTTTTCCCTTATTTCGTTTCGCGGAAATTTCGAGCCCCTGCATCGCGTTCGACGAGAACAAAATTTTACGACGTATTTATTGGATTTTCTTTGTCTCACAGAATTTTTATTTGATTAGAATTTGAGTTGTTGAGTTACTTGGCGATCGGAAGGATCGAGCTTCGATCGCTCTATGTGCCGTCACGCTGTCTATTTTTGTAATTAAGTTTCTTGTAGAATAAAATAATATTTTTCCGCGACCCTGGCGTCTCAGCAAGCGAAATCGAAACCAGTTTTTTTCATTCATGAAGAAATGTATTACAGCACATGCGATTCAACACAAAATCACACAAGAATGGCATTGAATTGCACGATGAAAATTGGCCTTGGCTATTTTGCGTATCATCTGTTCCCGATGAGATCCTTTCCAAATGTTGACTCTCTCCCAAGTTTTGTCTCTTCTTTGCGAGGAGCCATTAGGAATAATTGAATTTTTGAGATAATAAAATCACTTTTCAAATGATGAAACGAACATTCGGGAATGACTAGTCATTGTACTGAGATTTTGTCAAGAGAAACAATTTTGACTAGCAAAAAAGAAAAAAGTGCTGTATCCTACCTCGAATGCGGAAATTCTTAGATCACCATTCAAACGACACGAACTTCCGAAAAATTCATCGGCTACAATTTTACGCCGTACTTCACCGAGAGTTCCTTTTTGGCCTGCTGAAAGAGCTTGTTGTTCATGTTATTTTGGCGTTCTCTCCACGCTGGACGTTTGGCACTTCGTCTATCCTTGTACAGCCCCCAGTGGCACGTAAACACCGGTGTCAAAACGAAAAATTTGAATCCCGCCAATTTCGTTTCCAGCACCTGCAGGAAAACGGTCCTCATGAGTTCAACCCAGAAGGTAAACTTGTGCATTTCAATTCCAAAGCCCAAATATGCCATTTCCCTTCACGATATAAACTGACTTTATCGACGAAAGTGCAAATATAGTTCCAACCTGAGTATTTCGCGTGAATCCATAGCCAATGTAACGCTCGTCGTGTACAGGAACGATATCTTTCGACACGTAAAATGGTTCGTAGAAGAACGGCGGGTCGACAACTTCGTGGCTAATGCCTACTGAAGCTGTGGTCAAATCACGCTCCCATAACGAAAAATTCGTCGCGAACTGGTTCGGCTGAAAAACCTGGAACAAAATACGAAAAAAAAGTTTACATCATGAAGCGAAAGTTTAGGCGCTGAAGATTCCGTCAATAAAGAAAGAACAAATTTCAGAACAGAAATGATTTACAGCAGTGCTGTCCAATATACTGCCAGCGGGCCGGGTCTGGCTCACGAAGAATCTTCATCCGTCCCGTTGTCCATTCAATATAATTTTCAAGGCGGTATCCCCCGCTATTCAAAATATTTTTTGCAAGATGAATTTAAAAATACAAAATATAGCTCCAATCTTTAAAATTTAAAAGGCTATGCTCGTGATTCAATGCACAGCACTGAACTAAATTTGAAAGTTTTCATACCAAAGAGGGGAATTTCGAAAAAGAAAAATTATTGTACATTTTGTCCCGCGAAGACTCTCCACCTCTGCAATGTGTCTCTTGGCCACATTTGGGATGAGCAGCACAGCTTTACAGGTTGAGGATAAATAAAACCCAGTTCAATCGCGGTGACGGTCTGAAGAAACCGCAAAGCAAATCATAATGCAGGTTGCGCGCAACACTACTGCCGCAAATCATAACCCTCACACACTAAATCTGTTTCTCAAACACCGCAAAACGAACTCGCATAACGAGATACGCATAAACCCTATAATCTCAGCCTCTGAAAAAAACCTTACCTGAATATGATAAGGTTGAGCGAGCTTTTTGCTCACGAGCTGTAACAACTCCGCCTTCGTTCTGGGCACTTGCTTGAGCCTCTCGGAAAGCTCGTAAGTCGGCAAAATAAAAACAGTCTTCACGGGATGAACTCCCACGGCTGCTCTCGTTGGTTCGGAAGCGAAGAACTCCGCGAGGGATTCGCAAGAACCGGCGCTTGGTACAACGTCAATGTCCAGCAACATCACGTGCTCGAAAGGCGCAGTTTTACGAGCAACGTTCCGCAGGTGATTCTGTGGATACGGAACTGGAAGCGAGCGATAATGCGAGGGCTTTCCTTGGTCGCGACCGATCATCACAGATGCTACGGCTGCTTTCAGTCGGGCGGCAAATTTCGTCGGTGGAGCAAGTTCACAATCTGGAGATCCCAACTTACTCTATAACAAAAACGAACACGAATTTAGTGCGTTTGGAATTTGCCACAAATTAAACCTCAATAACTCGAACCTCCCTAAATCGGATTCCTTCATCTACAATATATTTTTTGAAGTCCCTGTCTGAATTCCCTCAGAGAAAATGCATTAAAATCTTCCCTAATTCAAAGGCTTCCCCAAAAACTCTAACTCAAATTTTCTGAAGGCCTTTTGTTTATTATTTAATCGATACAGGAAAGAAAAAACCAATAAAAATGAAACTTGATGCGTTTTGTAAGACATTGAAAGACTGATAGGGCAAATAAACTTTTCTTCCAACTTCAGCATCCTGCCAACTGATTTAAAAAACGATTAAATGTCCAGAATATAACTGACTAAAATATCCTATAATTTATCTTTCTTCTTCCCCTGATCATAACAGGAAAAACACGAGAACAGCCCATAAAAGCACTGGACAAGAAATGCGCGTAAATTCATTTTGCCCAACTTCAACTTGTACAATAGCTTATTATTGTTGGAAGCTTCTCACCTCAATCGTGGTAAAAAAAAATAACGATTCAAGAGAAATATAGCGACGAGAAAAATTTTCGAAATCTCGAACTCACCGAAAAAGTTTTCACCTCCTTTACAGTGGCTTCCATGGGAGGCGACGATGCAGGATAGACAAGGTTGATGGCAGACTTCTCGGCAAACTCGGGATAACAATGGAACAAGTACTCCAATATCAGCGTCATGTGGACAAATTCAAACCCAGGAACAAATATCGCCAAAGAAATTGGCCCATTCCATTGAGCAGCTTGAACTGAGGCCCAATGAAGCCGGTCAGGAGAAGAGTGTGTGGCTAGTGTCACAACACGCTTCTGCGGGCTATCCGCAACCCAACTGCGAAGAATTCGGAGATAATGTATTGGACATTTTCTTCGAAAATTATTCGCTGAATCATTTGAGCTAAATAGTACAATTCGTACAGCATTTCAACAATTTCAAGTTTCAGAAGCGCGCATAGAACAAGCGGAGTCGTTCCCTACTAGTGATTCAATGTCAAATTTCAGTAGAATTTCTATATTTACATGAACTTCATAGTTCATACAGTACATCGCCAAAGTGTACCTCCGTGCTTCCGACCTTCAAAAAAAGTTTATTGAATCTAAGGTGAACACATCTCAGACAATAAGATGTACAGTATAATGTATAGTACGGTATAATGTACACGGTCAACCCAAAAGTTTAGCAATTTTCGAATAATACAGTACTGTGCAGAACAATAGTTGATAAAAATAATTATACAATTTTAAAAAAAAAACACGGAAAACGTGGCCGAAGAAAGCTTTGTTCACATTCAAAGCTTCGCATTTTCAGTTTCCAGTTCTAGATTACGCAGTGAACTTCTTTTCAGTGGGAAAATAAGCTCAACGAAATAATGTGGCCTTGAACATTTAAACGAATTCCCCATTCAACGTGAATGAATCCCGCGACTCCAAGAAGCCGAATGACAAAATTCAGGTTTTTAAGCAGGATTAACATAATTACGTCTTCCGTCAACACATTTATTTTCCGCGAAAGATGGAAGTACAGTACGATGAACAACTCAGTTTACTTGCGAAGTTGTTTACTCACGACTGGAATCGTTCTCCGACATGAACGAACTCGTGAATCTTGTACAACCGCTGATTGTCCCATCGGTAATTCCGATTCAAAAACCGTCCTTGATGCCACGTGAACTCCACAGGCGAATCAAATCTCTGCCTCAAATCTCCGCTCGATTCCACAGCAACACGATCAGGTACAGTAGAATTAATGGCCGAAACCGGCTCAGCGTGACTCGGAGTAGCTTTCACTATCACAGATGAGAGAAAAGTCGGAGTTCCTCTCGCATATGACTTGCTCACCAGAAATATGAAAACAAAATTCGCCGCAGAAAATAAAACCAAGATAATAAATCCGACGCGGACCGCACTTCGCGAAGAACTTGAGCGCTTCACCGCAGCGGGGCGACGTCGACGATTCCACATGAATTAATCCTGATCAATCAGGGTTTTACGACTCCATGACAACAGGAAAGAAGATAGGTCACATGAAACTTCCAGAACATCGGTACTTCATCCCATCCTTCGAAGGTCCACAAGCCATCAAACCCAATTTAATCTGCGCCAAAAAAATATTTTCGTGAGATAAAGTGACAGCCTTCACAGAAACGCAGGAAATGAAAATAAATAGAAATTTTGATTCGTATCACAGAAAACGCTTTTATTCACAAATTCTTGTAGTCCACGCAATTTGCCTTCTGCCGTTTCACCGCGTTGTATAAAATTTTCACTTCCTCAAAAAAAAAAGACCACATCAATTCCCCATTTTTCTCTCAATAGAATCCTGGATGAAACCTGTCCAGCGTATTCTTCTTTTTATACCGGAAAGGATTTCGAAATACGCACAGCCAAGGACAACTCAGGCAGTCCGTACTTCGAATATTGACGTCGAAACGCTTATGAGTAAAAAGATGTCCTCGTACACGGAAGAAAAATAACTAACGAAAGTACGTGTCACCGTCATTCCACGAAGTATTTTGATGCTTGCCCGAACTTGACCTCGCGATGCATCAATTATGCAAGTTCTTCAGGTTATAAAATCATAAAATTTATAACTTCTAATTCAGGAAAAATTCCTGATATCAACGCATTCATGTACCGTAGTTCTTAAAGCATCAGAATACTCCCTTCATGCGGTCGAGGTAATTTAATGCATTAAGCGTCTTACGGGCAAAAGAACAAAAAAGGCCAAAATAGAGGCTAAACCCATTCGGGAGAAGCACAAGATCAACGAACGACTAAACGCGGCAAAAAAACGTCATTTGTCCAACTGACCCAACTCAGTGGCAGGATCACGCAACATCCAAACAAAAACAAAAAAGGCTTCAAGGACTAGGCGTTGAAATAAATCGGACAACTACATGATCGAGCATAGATTGGACATTTCACGACCCTTTTCGACAGGAGGGAACACGGTAAGTTCTTTGTTGACCAGCCCCGGCGGTGGCTCAGGGCTGTTCGGTTTACTAGACGGAGAAGGAGCGGCGGCACTTTTCGCGAGGTTGATTCTTATCCGCGGTGCTGGCGCAAGGGATTCCGAAGTTCCCGTCAAACTTGCGGCGGCTACAGTTGCCGCGGGCACTTCCGTGATGTCGTCATCTCCTTCGTCAATACTAGATGCGAACTTAGCGTGTATGATGGAGTTCAATCGCGAGATTTCGTCTTTATCCAAGGGCTCTTGCTTCACGGTCGCCGGATCGATCGGAAAATCAAACCTGAGAGAGAAATTTTGTTCAAATCAAAACTTCAGGACAAAAAATGTAGACAGCTTTCCCCCAAATCCGCATACGATAGGGTATGAGGGATGGGAGTTAGGAAGCGATTAGTTACTGAGAAAAATACTTCTAGCTGTGTCAAAGGAAAACTATGCGATTAGTTCAGTACGGGCTCACAACTTATAAAATTTAGGATGATGGACGCATGGAACTGGAGATGCTCGATAAATCGGCTCTTACATGTTGCATCTTGCAAGAATACACACTCGAACCCCCTTTAAGCCGCCACCTTCGGCAACCGCCAATTTATTTCGGAAAAATCTTCCTTAATGTATATAACATGGGAAACCCAGTTTAAAGGCGAACAGACAATCTTATTGACAACTCGAATGGGATTCTGTCAATTAATTTTGTCTTCAATACACCGCCAACGTGATTCAATTTTGTGGGAGGTCTCCATTAAAAGAAAATGAACATGAGCTAGATAAAATTTAGGTAACCCGGGACTGTTTTGATTGCTTTCCAGAAGAATCCAAATTAAATTTCATAATATTCATTTTATGACAGCATTTTGGTTTTCTGATAAACCACAAACCTTTTTAAACCGCCACCCCTGTTAAACCCTTAAAACCACACAAGCGAATTGAGGTAGCCAATCGAAGTTTGACCATCAGCTCGGGTTGTACAACCACAAACCAAACAAAATGAAAACTTATTAAATAAAATGATGTTGCGCACAACTTGGCGGTTTTCGTGACAATTTTGAGTGGACAGCCGATTAGAATTTTTAACGTCACCCTGTACGAGCAATGCATCTTGGCCATTACGTACAGATTAAAGCGCGAGCGAAAGAGTTTCAGCCATCATTTGAGCACCGGGAATAAAGAAAAATTCCCACGAAGATTGATTGATAAGGACCTCTGGTTTTCAATTTTTCACTGTCGGACTTCCAAAAACGTTTCTGGTACACCCTATGACCGGCAGTGGATCGAAGACCACTGAGGACGTTTGTGGAAGAAACGAACACTAATTCAAATTGCAGTGGACCAGTTGATTCAAGGAAGATTGCCAAATCAAACTAACTTGTCCATCACAGCTTCAGGTTCCAACTCTACGACATTCCTATAAACGACTCTGGTCTCGATAATTTCTTCAGCAGAAGAGGGCTTCCGAGGTCCCGTAGCGTCGGCATCATCCATTTCTTCGTCACTCTCCTCGATCGTCAACACATCGTAGTGCTTCTCAGGCGGCTCTTCCATGATGATGTCATCATCTTCTTCATCCTCCTCCGCTTCCTTCTCCTCCATCTCTTGATCCTCGACAACAGGGACTGCGATTTCCGGAACCTCCACTTCCGCCGGTGTGTCCGGGATCGGAAGTGGAGCTTCCTCCTGGACCGGAACCACGGCTTCTTCCTCGACGGGAATAGCCGTAAGACCGGGTGGAGAAACAGGGACCTGAACAGGCTCAGTGAAAACGACAACATCTGCCTCATCCTTTTTATTGCTAGTGTCCATTTCCGCGTCACTTTCCGTGACAGTCACTACCGGATGGACGACAACAGGCACTGGAATCTCTGTAATATCATCATTGTCGACTTCCGATTCTGGTGCTTCGGTTTTCGCATCCTCCACCCCGGTTTCCGCGTCTGAACTAGGAATGAGTTCGCCCGAAACTACCTTGACAGAATGAACATCCAACTCAACTTCTTCTACAGCCGGTTGCTTCACAGCCTCGGATTCCTTGAATTCCGTTGTTTCCTTCACGTCCACATGGTCGTCAGCGCGTTTCTGAAAATCATGAAAAACCTTAAGCACACCTCGAGAAGTAGATCTTTGTTCCTCGATACTCTGAATTTAATTATGGTCACCGATCATTTCGGTTTGAACATTCAACATAATATTCGATACTGAATTTAGAATATCACGGAAATCAGGATCGAACTTCATCAGAATGGAAGTTAAGATTTGATTTAATACCAAAACTCGGGACCTCAGATGAATATAATATAACTGATCTCGGGAGTGTATGAAGCTGGATATGAATAACTTCCGGGATTTGACAGCAAAACACGGGCGAAAAATTTTAATGGGTGAAGGTTTGTCTACAAAGAGCTAAAATTCAATGGCCCAAGAATTTCTTTATTTGGACGCTTCCATAAGATGAAATGATCGAACAGAAGTAAAATTCCCAAATCAAACCAGATGCCTGGGATCGCACTAACAATGTAATCTTCCAGACAGAGAGGATGGAAAAGTTTGCCGTTGTGAAAAACTGCAGGTCGAACGACGTAATCTTCCAGCTCGCGGTCGTAGACAGATTGGAAATGTTCGAAACACGCCGAACAAGACGGTTCCTTTTCTGCGCCAAGCTCTGAAAGCGCAATTGACGGAATTTCATCGACATCCGCATCTCCCGCAAGCCCTTGGCCATCGTCGTTCCATTCATCTGTGAAATGAAGTAGACATGTATTCAATGTTCCAAAAATTGCACGATGAAATGGCCTAATATATATTTTTTAACTTCACGAGTCGCAGGACTTGAATACCTGAATATCCAACAATAATTTCTAGGATTCCGGGAGAACCAATTTTAAAAAATGAAACTGCGCAAATGTGACAAAACTTGACGGAAAAACGAACTTACCCGAGTCATCAACGCGCTCGAATTTCAGCCAGTCTGAAAACTGATAACACCATGGATGGCTTTCAGCGCGTTTCTTGGACTGCTTCTTGATCTTGTTTTGTCGAAAATGCCAATCCAAATGCGCTCCGTAGCGATTGGAAACCCCCGAGTGAAATCTGAATCCGCAAGTCTTGCACTGCAGTCCAAAGCTAAGTGTGCTGATGACAGCTTTATCACGCCTTTCGGAAGAGAACAAAATTGAAATATAGACGAAAAATAAGCACACAAAAATACAGGAAAAATTGACTAAAATTGATAATCGCAGTCCACATAAATTCTTTTAAAATTTAACGGAGAAAAAATTCTTGAATTACTATGCTTCCACTCACTCCAATACCATACGTTACATAGGGCAAGTTAGGTCTGAAAAATAATTTTACCACTCAAAAAGTTTGACAACGTATAACGGAGTTTTCTCTGGACATACCTCCTTAATCTTTCATTACTGAACAAAACATTGATAGGCGCCAAATCGTCTTCTATCTCGACCATCTTCTCCCCAACGCTTGCATTGTCTTCCTTGACTGTGGTGGGATCTTTGATAGGTATAGATTTCGCAACAGACATAGCTCCGTTCTTCGCAATTGACCCGGTTGTCGCTGGTAACAAGCCATGCTCCTGCAGCTTCGAGAGCAGCGACTGGACGTTTGGGGGTCGGCCTAACCAGAAAGAGCATCACGCGTTTGATTATAAGTCGTACCCACAAGACGCATACTTCAGTCTGGGTCAACCACAGAAGATACCACATACCCGATACAAACAGAAAATCAAGCCAGTCGAAAAAGAATATCCCGTCCACTTTTGTATTACCTTGATCAATAATGTACAAAAAGCTTTGAAAATGGGAACCTAATGACTTCAGATGGAAATTTAGTACAGTTGAACCTCGATAACTTGAACATACCAACGTCGAATTTCTTTTCAAATACCCTGTCTGAATTCCCTCAGAGAATACTCGAAAAACTTCCGTAACTAGAATTCCTTCGCCGGTCCCTTCAAGTTCGAACCGAAAAGATTCAACTGTACATAAAACTAAAAAATTCCCGAATGCGCACAACGAACTGGTTGAAAAATTGATATGAATAGTACAAAAAATTCAATAATTGGATCAGTTCAACCACAGGCATTAGTATTTCAATGCTTTGATATCTATGATAAACGGAAGAAATTTCTTAGCATCAAAAGCCTGACGATGACAGGTTCTGAAAGAAACTAATGCAGAGTAGTGAAACTGTGCTTAAAATTATAAAATACTGTACAAAATGAAGAGAATTTCTGAGCATCAAAAGCCTGATGATGGCAGCAGTTGAGAAAAACTGAAGCAGCAGTAATTCTGTTTTCATGAATCACACGTAGAATTCTATTCATGCAGCTAACTTTAAAGCGACAGGGAACTTCACAGCAGCAGTTCCACTCACCAGTAGATGCTTTTACACTGTCTTTCGGAGCAGGCTGGAAGAAACTCAGTAAATCTGCTACGGGCTGCTTCTGCAAACCTGGCAATCCTGCACAAAGTTCCAAAAGCATACCAAAGATTGACACGCATCCAAAACATCAGCGACACTCGAATACAAAAATGGACACGAGCAAAGGAGATGTGGGCAGATCAACGCCGAAACGTCCGAAGCACAGGCTCCACTTCGCTCGTCCGCAGTCTCGTGAATCACGTCAGGGCCAAACCGCAACTCGTCTTGCTGGCTATACAAGAACAGCTAACCCCAAGCGGTCAACCCTCCCATCAAGTTATTCCTTCAAATGAAGCAACTTCGAGGACAAGAAACGTACACCGAATGAAGAAGTGTTGATAGGACGATCATCACAAAATTTATTTCGCAGCAGGAAGAAACAACTGATCCTGCACAGCCCATTTAAGATAACAAAAATCTTTAACCTTTCACAACTATTTGTACTCCCCTTGCGTTCCCCTGCAGTATGCAAACTGTTGTCTTTATTTGCACCCACAACCTGGTCATCACGATTGTTGTCATCACGCTTCTATTTAACGCGCACCACAAACACCCGAGTTGTTCAAAGCACACAAGTGAAAAACGTAACAGATGAACACCTTCGCATCACAGACGATCATCGGCCACTCATGGAGACCAGTTGATGCCGATAAATAGCAATGAACACATTGAGATCACTCGATTAAATCCTTCCTTGAGGGATTACGACTAAAAGAATTTCTTCCGAAAATCAGCTTCAAAAATCCAATAATTTAAACGTAAGCTTCTGACTCATTTTTCAGACGGATAAGCACACCATGCAAACTCGAGCATTTCTCAAGAATTTAATAACTGCGAAAATAGTGCGACTGCTCCATATTCCGCTCGTGAAATTTCATCATGTAAATTCACTCTGCTAATCCTACCTCATACTCTGACCAAAGTTGATGGAAAAAGAAAAGTACACAGGATCAAGCATATCGCTTTTGAAGAGGTTACTGAACTATCATGTACGTCTTCGAAATGTATAGCTTTCGGAGAACTGACTCATGAATCACGCGGATGCAAACAGAGAAATAATATCCACGTAGCACAAAATTTTCGAATCTTCGCAAGTGAATGAGATTCGTGACAGAACTCAAAATGATCAGGAAATTTTAGAACAGTCATCGGATGGAAGAGCTGAATTGATCAATGGCAGCCCGAGTTCACATGGGTACGAATAACCGTATCTACACGGCTCGACACGACGCGTAGCAGGTTAAAGGAAAAAAACATAACATATCGGGAAAAGTAAACAAAACCCATCATCTCTCTCAGCTCCAACACAAGAGCAAGGAGATGATCAGCGAAATTACCAGAAGACGGGAGCTGCTGCAGCTGAACACTGCCCACGTCAGCTTCTTCCAGTCCCACCAGATCCACGGCGCCGGCCACAAACCCGAGTGGCAGCCGCGAAAACCTCACATGCACAGGCCTTCCAGTTTCCATCAGCACCGTTGTTTCTCCTTCGTCCTCAAACCTAGTTTCGTACACACGGCCGTTCCACCTAAATCCCAGCATCTTGTTGACGAACTGAAGGGTGACCGGTTGACCACGCACGCGCAACTGCTGCGGGAACCCGTCGGCGCATACGGGAATGGGGTGTCGAGGACAAAGTGGAGTTTCTTCATCGCGGACGAACATCGTGATGCGAGCAATGACGACATCAGTTCGCTTTCGATCACCGACAGCAACGATAGGAGGATTGCCTTCGATTCGCACAGGCCGTCGCACGCCGTCCAGTTCTATGCTGACGCCCTCTCCGCCAAAAAAACAGCCGTAACCGACGCCGTCCAACACGATTTCTCGCAACGGACCAGCAATTTGTACGCTGTGTTGAGCACCGGATCCACCCGGAAGCCGAAAATCAACAGCTGGGCCGCCGATACGACAATCTACCCGTAGAGTCTCATCAATGACGACAGTCCGCATTCCATCGTCGCCACTGTCGTCATCAGTGCGGAAAAACAAGTCACGAGGCTCTTCATTGCCAAAAAAGGCGATGATATTTCTACCGCACAAACGTATGTCTCGCAAGATACCGTCAATCGATAGTCTCTTCGGATCTTCGACGCAATACTTCGTGGCAGCCTCTGCAGAAATAAAACCATTAAAAATCTGGAAATAATTTCGAATAGGACGATCTTACCAGCAATAGCTTTGAGTTTGACAGGACAATTCGGTTCTCTGTGTCCCCTTTCTCCACATTCAGAACACTTCATGATATCCGTCCTCACGGATTTTGGACAGTCGCGATAAATATGCCCCTCACTGTTGCATCTCATACATCCTGTTCGGTGTTTGAAACGAAGTCAACTCGAATTCGCAAATCTTTTTCATTCGATGTATACTTACTCATCGTGAAACTCTTCGGGTCGTATTCACCGTCATCGTCGTCGTCCTTCCGCTTCCCTTCGATCACAGACTGCGAAAAAATCGTGGTCATGCAATATAATCGTCGAGAAAAAAACACAATATCAACGGGCTTACCTTCCGTCCGAACTCCAGCTCCTCGACAGGATTTACTGATTTCTTCTCAGTCATGGACATGGACGAGCTTGAACCATTTCTTTCTGAATCTACTCGCAAAGCAGCGGAATCTAAAATGAACCAAATTATCAAAGATGCGTTGATGAAAATTGAATAATCCACCTGAAGGTCCCATTACTGTTGTACAATTTTAAATTTTGTCGCCGAGTAAAAGTTTGGAAAATTCATTTAAAAGTACAGCAACGCTCAATAGGCTACTACCCAAACGCTGAAGGAGAGGAAAAACCAAGAATCTGACGTATTACCAGTATTCCGTACCAAATTAGTTCATTACCGTGGTGAACAAACAAAGCATGACCCTTTACCTGTTACACGCAGCTGAGCTTTGAGATCCTCATTGTTAGTGAAACGCGTGTCCACAACAGGAGGAATTTCTCGACGAAAATTTCCAGAACCACCCCAACGATCGTGGAAGACGTCTCCACCACCTTCTGTCATATTAAACCGCTGTTTATCCAGCGTAGCACCGGGAAACGGACATCTGGAATCCATTGGTAATCTGAAAAATAAAATATTTCACGCGTTAATCCTTACCCGTCCAACCTTTCCCAATAATCCAAAAAATATTCCATGAAACGAACCGATTAGTCAGAATTTCAACTTTGAAGCACCAGTACTCACCGCGTTGGACGAAAATCTTGAATAGGTTTGAAGGCAGCCCAAGGTGCTGGCGGCGGGGGTAGGGGAGGTGGCAAACTGCCGGACGGCCAAGACAGACCAACCGACAACGAATTGGGAGCTGCAGGGATAACAGCAACATTTGGAATTCCCATTTGAACGACGGGCAAAACTTGTGGGGTGACGGCAACATTAGCAACGGGTGGTTGCACCGCCATTTGCCTTAGATCCGTATCCTCCGATCCGAAGAGGCTATACGATGATGGAAACAATTAACTTTTTCCGTCCTTCAACTACCTAGCCCATATTTCTTGAGCTGATACGTGCGCCAAGACGCATGCGAACACCGAAACTGAATCAGAACAAGAGGACGAATTCAACGATTGCTCACCCTTCCAGTTCATCGAATTTTGGTTTTTGAACAGTCAAAGGTCCATTGCCAATCGACACCGGATTTTCCACGGTTTTCGAGTCTATCTTGACACCTACATTATGATGACTTGCTTGGGGTTCCATCGCAGTGGCTGGTGCAGTAAAATCCCGCAAATCTACATCAGACAGGCTCGTTTCCGCATGAACCAGTCCAGTTTCTTGCATTTGGGCAACTGTAACAAAATCAAATTCTATCTAGTAAAAACGACGTATTCAAGTCGGGTAGGTAAAATGTTCGGTTAGAATGTAAGATACAAGGTGTCCAAAAAATTAACATTATATCCACCTTTCTTCTCGGGTATACCATCAGACCTCAACAGGGAATTCGGTGCAGGTCTACGCCTCGAACCTGTTGGCAATGGTTGCTCACGCGGGACTTTCGGAATTCGAGGAAGCACATTTCGATCCTTCTTGGAGAGCAACTTCTGGTCTATTTTCTTCGTGTCCAAAATCTAGACGAAATATGCGATCGAGTATATGGTGTCGCTCGCCGGTGAATACGTCGATGACTGACCTTTTTAGCAGATTCAGGCTTCTTCTGAACGACGTTTTCTCTGACTGGAGGGGGCTGAGCTGGTTTAACTTCAACACTAGGCTGATTTGTTGCCGTCGGTGTTGGGAGAAGGCCCTGACCAGGAATTCTGGGAACACGCCGCGCATCAGCTTTTAACCTTGAACGGTCCGCCATGATTGGGGATGCCGCGCCATCTGGCGGAGGATGTACTTGACGTCTGTTGGAGAGTCGGACGGACGCACGTTAGTTAATTCACGCAGAAATTCATTTCGAAACCAGATGGACTGACCTATTTTGCAATTCCTTCGGCACAACTGACGATTTCCGCGGTATGACGCTGTTCGGACCAGCGAAGGATTCAGTATCTGATGGACTGGACAAGGGAGAAACAGGAGATAATGCCTGTGGAGGACGAATTACTTCTTCGGCGACCTCTCGCCGTCTCGCAAGTCTTGGATCCTTTGGAGGACTCACGACTGGCACTGCTACATTTTCGGTTGACATCATCTTCGGCGCATCTTCAGCAATAGCAGCTTCGCATTCAATTTTCTCAGGCTTCAAAGCCTTCTCCAAGATTTTCACGTCATACTCCAAGGATTCGATCTCCTTGTCGATTTCAGCGAGATTCTTCAGGGCTGTCGGATTATTCTGCTGCAGCTAGAAAATTCACGAACAATAAATCTTAAATTTTACTCTCCTCGACATTAGAATGGAAAAGACTTCAAGCCATTCCACCGAACCGGTCGTTGACGCACCTTCCATTTCCAGCGGAATGGGATTCAACGAAACCCGAAGAAAAAAACAAACCCGAAAAACAGTCAATTTCATAAACGTAAGAACAGTACCTAATTCTCCCCTTCCACAATCTTCAACAAAATCTTAACTCTATAAGCACTCCCTTCCCGACTAATATTCAATAGCTAACATAACAGAGAAGCAATAATCATTACTATAATTCCACATAGGTTCCACACTGAACCAGCAAGGTAAGTCAAGAAGACTTCATCCGTCTATGTCTCACGAGTCTCACCCCTTCGATTTCCAGCTGGCAACGTTGGATCTTCGCTTCCAAACAGCGTCTCTTCTTCTCAGTCAGTTCCACAGAAAACTTCTGCAATTTGTCGATCCGTGAAGGTCTCTGCCTTTTCTCGGGAGGTAACACTGGCGACTGCTGCCGCTATACAAGAACATGCCGCTTCAAATGCCGATCAGATTAACAAGACACACACGTTTACTTACCGATGCGTTCACTGAAGTCTTCGAATATGTACCTCCGGGCTGACTGACGGGCCAGGCAGGATCCGACTCGTGCACAGCTTTGTCTATGTGATGCAAAATTTTCTTCGGCAAAATTTCCGACCAAGTTTGACGCAACTTAAACATAAGCTCACGCGTCTCCTCATTAACCTACGAAGATAATATATTCACATGACAAAACGCCGAGACAACAGAGTTGAGCTAATAATGCAAGACTTACGGCATCGAAGGTATGCTTGAAGTTCTTCACTAAGTTCGGAGTAAAAAGTGGCGCATACGTTTTACCAACATTCTTTATGATGGAGTCCATTAGGTACAATGTCGGTAACTTTTTTTCAGCAGAAACCTGGAAATGTTCCAACGTCAACGTTGTACTCATGACAAATAATTGATATAAACGTTAACTAACCTGATTCAAGTGTGTTTCAATTATAGAAACAAGCTGAGCGGCTTGCGCGCGGTTCTCTTCCGCTAACATAGTCAGCATATTAATAAGAGGCTTGCTATTCGAAAATAATTCCTGCAGTTCGATCGCGAACGATTCACACACCTCATCCCTCTCCCCCATCGCGCACGGCAAAGAACTGAGTCGACTGACACTCCACCCTTGGACTCCCTTAAAGGATTAAAGACGAAGTCGACAAAATCTTAGGTTCAATATGAACTGAAAGGCACATCAGAATCAACTTTCACAGGGCAATACTCAGAAATGTCAACGCGCTGGCGTCTGGTAAATATATGCATTCGCTCAATACACTTACCGAATTAGAAGCCACGTATTCGTTTAAACAGCTTCCATGCGCAAATGCACTCATAAAATGATGTTCTTCTCATTACTTAATAGGCAACGAAAAATGCGAACGCAGAACACATATTCACTTTCTCCGTTCACGCAAATTGTACTTCACATGACGTCAATCCATCAAACAGCGACGCAAGATTCTGGCATTGTCAGTCAGAGCGGAGCCATCTTGTAGTCGACATTCAATCGAGTAAGCAGTATCTACAAGTATAGGGTACGCTTCTCTGGTGTAACTGAGGCCAGCTGTTCAGTTGTTCTGCAGTACAGTAAACTATAAATGAGCACAAAAGTTATTGAGGACAGCGCTGATGCCTTGGACAATTAGCATCCTAATCAGCAAACTTATTCTTACATCACAAATCCGTGTTCAGCCAACGATTCTCCTCCAGCAACACACGTGATTCGAGAAACGAACCTCAAATCAATTTAGGAAAAGAAAAAAGTAGAAGAAAACTTTGAAAAAGCATTGGGCAAAAAGTCAAGGAAAAGCAATTTTGATTGAAAATTCCATGGAGGAATCCTAAGGAAACTTGAAGGGGAATTCACATTTTGAATTCCTTGTCTTCTTATGTTCCGAAAAAAAATTTCATCTGTTATGTAATACACTAACATGATCATTCAAGTGCTGAAAATAAATTAGTGGCCAAATATATAAGATTAATAAGAAGGGCTTCCCACATATATAACTCGCTGTATATGCTGCTGGTTTCTCAATAAGTTATATAATGCTAGAAAATTAACGTGCGAAGGGTGTGGACGGACCGTATGGTACTGGATATAAACTAATGTACGGTAAATATTTGTAAATCGTTTTCATCTGATGCTCAACTGATGCCATGACGTCTCCTGAAAGCTTACATGCGGGGCAGGAGCGGAGCTACTTGTAAATAGGGAGATCGCAGAAAGGCCCCTTGAGGCCCGGTGTGGCAAGAAGTTTCTATATAGAGTCCATCCTGCTATACTGCCTAGGCAGGGTGGACTCTAGAGTCCAAATTGAGGGTAGAGTACGCCCTGCCTGCCACACCAGCCCTTCCATGATGATGAGAGGGGCTTGTTCAATTACAGCAGTGACACCTGTCAAACAACTTCGAAAAACTATGGCTTTGTTTTTTCGTAATCTCATTAGATAATACTGTACTATATTGTACGAGTGCAGCGGATGATTTCCTGGGATATGTCTTTTGTCGAACGACGAGAGACCGAGCTATTAGTGTTACACGAAATTTAAGGATTGATAACTTGGTTAATAATGTAATGATTAACCAAGTTATCATTAACCAAAGGCCTTGGTTGTCTTTGCCATGGGCTAAATCCATATGTGATGTAATATCACATATTACATTCACGAAGGTGTATATATATATACTGTAGTTCTATATTTCCGCAGTCATGGGAACGGCACCTTGAATTGCGGTTCTAATCCCTGACGAACTTTCCTGCATACAGGAGGAAGTAAACTGAGCATCAGTGTTTTTAACATTTCTTTAAGAACAGTACATTGCTAGGGATGTTGGGGTGCATCATCATTTCATGCCAGCTATAGGTCCTGCTATATAGTAAGAGTACGAAGTCTCTATTCATACACAACAGGAAAGCCAAAAGCAAGTACTGTATTAGTTTGGGCTGTATTTCACACAGGTCTGCACAAAATCAGGAGTCTTGTCTTGATATCTTGAAGAATTTTGTCTCACACGAAATACCTTCTAATTCTAAATTTTCATGAGCCCAAATATTCAATCTGCTTCCCAAGGATTTTTCCTTCAAGTAAATGTGCCATTGATGAATCCCTGCAGATTTTATTTGGGTACAGTATAATTTTCACTTCTGATTTCCGAATCCATCCAGAGTATAACCATGTATTAAACCAGGGCCATTTGCCTAGATGGGCTTGAATCAAAAGTCAGGATGATGGAAACCTTTGAATGTGTTAACCATTTTTGGCCCCAACTAAATACTACTCATAAAATAACAAGAATAAAACAATACAAATGCTGCAAATTAATGTATTGAATAGTATGTTATCTTCCTACACCATTCTTCAACATTTAATTCCTATCTGCAAGCATGGCAATTCGTAAAGTCACCCATTCATGGGGTTGAGGGATGGAGTGGAAGCGAACATCCCTCTAGGAAGGCAGTGTGGGAGTCAGTGGCGTTGAGTTGGAAAGTGTACCATAACGTCCGGTCACGGAGTGAGTGTTGTACCCATGTGATTACAACGATCAACTGAGGTTTTCACTAGAAAGTTTTGGCGCATCCCCGATTGTTGGTGCTGTGCAGAAAAAACTGTATCAAGTGTATTAATTCATCATTTTGAGATTGTGAAGAACAAGGAATTCATTATCTTCACATTAAATGCCCTTGTATTTCGCAGTATTCGTACGATGACGGCTTTGTCATCTATCCGAGTTTCATGCAAGAAACGAGTGCTTGCTGTTTTCTGATATGGGTACTTCAGCAGCTCAGCAGAAGAACGCTTGAGCATCGATCCTGTGATCCTTCAGTGCGATGGACCCTCTTGAAAAGATCGATGTTTCAAAGCTTCCGAATGAAATTCGGGAAAAGCTTGCGGAGTTGGAACTGGAGCTGTCGGAAGGTAGGTTTTGGGAAGATTTAGGTTCATTCAGGAATAAAATTATAGTATTTGTTTCATCGTTGCAGGTGATATAACCCGAAAGGGATATGAGAAAAAGAAAACGAAGCTTTTAGCTGCGTTCATTCCCAAAGAACACTCCAAAGGTCGTCGTCTGTTTAGCATTTCCAATCGTTTGTCTCAATAATTTTTAAATTTTAGGAGGTGCATCCGGTGGTTCCGCTAGTCCCGGAACTAGAGCGAAACGAAGAGCGCATCGGAAACTCACTCGCAATGAGAGTCGCTATCACTCAGGTAGGTTTGTGTCTAGTTTTCTCTTGCGCAGCAGAACTGTATCTGTTAGAATGTTGCGTTTGAGATAGCTGAGTTTCTTTGATTGTCACACATCCAGAAATACGGAAGGAGGCCGTAGAACAGGCTCTTGCTGCAATGCAAAGCAGACCGAAACCATCCCTGCCAATGCCCTCCAAAAGGACATCCGTTCAGCAAATGCCTCAGTCTCAAGAAGATAGAGGCATTAGAAATGATGACTCTGGTAATAATTTTTCGTCGTATTTCATGTGCCATATTGCTACCGTCACTATTGGAGCTGGAGTTTGATATGCCTTAGAATCTTGATTGATGTGGATAACACGCTAAACTTGAAAGTTATCGTTCGATTCTTATCCCAGAATGACTAGTCTGAATAAATGTAGCTTCAATGTTTTACTGATTCATCTCTCGAATTTTTCATCCATGAACAGGAGAGTCAAGCTCCGATGAAAGTAGCAGTTTGTTCAATGAAGAAGCAGCTTCACATGGCACAACAGAAATGAGGGATGATGCTCCACCACCTTTGCCTGACAGACAAAGTATGCCACTCCCTCAGCCTCCAGTGATGCATCAGCCTTCGCATCCTTTACCACCTGTTCCAGTCACTCCTTCGCATCCTCCAATGCCGGGTGCTCCACCTGGTTCTGCCAACAGGCAATAGATGGAAATTAAGAGTGAACCAATTAGAATGGTCAAGTACATGCTTGCTTTTTTCACTTTCAGGTTGCCAAACGGTGATCCTTTCGTCTGTGATTCAGCTGATAATATCCACGATCTTTGGAGACGCATGGGGCAAACCGAAGGAAGTAAGTTTCGTAGTGCTTATGCTTCTCTAATTTTTTTGCCTGCGCATCATCAACGGTATTAAGCTTGCCACTTTTCTGGAAGGAGCTTCCTCTGTACTTCGCGAAGAAAAACCTGTTATTTGTTTATATTTATTTGTGCCATTCCGGGAATTTCTTTGAGAAACGTTCATTTCATTTTGGGCTCTACTTTTTAGGTGCCAATGTACACGCATCAGATGCGACCCATAGCACATCTTCATCACACGGTTCTTCGCACCATGGGCATTTAAGATACCATCCGTCGCATGCAAGCTCAGTGCGAGTTACTCAGCACTCCAGCTACTCTGGAGAGAGTCTTCGTGAGTCATACTGGGTTTTACGTTTGTTTTAACTCAATATGTAACCTTTCTCTCGATTCCTTCATTTTCTAGCCGGTACTGGGAGATGGAAGGTATCAGCAAAGATTCAGCAACTATTAAACACACTAAAACGCCCTAAGCGACGGCCGTTGCCAGAATTTTACGTTGACGACGAAACAGATTTGGAAGTTGCGGCCAATTCTAAAGATCCAAATGCACCAAAACCTGAGGGGAATACAATGGCACCCATTGTCGGAGAGCCACTCGTAGTGAGTGAAAATTCAAGGTCGGATCCTAAAGGATTATTCAATAATTTTTTTCTCAGGTTCCGTCAGGATTGCCACGCAATTTGGAAGCTGCCTTGCAAAGATATGGTTCAGCTTCCTTCAAAGCGCCTGTTGCCACAGTTCTGGATGCGGGAAATAAGTTGAGCAACACTCTGAGTTATGGTGAGTGATGAAATTCGGCGTCTTGATTAAATATTAACCCATTGGGGGCTTTTTTGCTCACCAGGAAAATTATTGAGTCGATCTCAAAGGGTTGCGTACGCATTGCTCAATTATGGTACAAGCAAAACCAGCGAGAATGTTTCAATCCGAGCAGGGGACCGTGTTGCATTGGTGTTTCCGAATTCTGACCCATTGGGATTCCTGTGCGCATTTTACGGATGCCTGCAATCTGGCATTGTGCCAGTGCCCATCGAAGTACCGCTGTCACGGCGAGTGAGTTTTACTGCTGTCTCCATTTGATGACAGGGTCACGCATCATTACGGTTGAGGGTTTTCAGCCTCCGTTAGGCCTGTTGATTTGGAAAATTAGGGACCACAACTCAGTAAACAAACTCTCCAGGTTCTTCGATCGTGTAACTGACATTTGTCTCGGGAACTAATTTTTGTGATTCTAACGGTAGAGGTTACGAAACTGAATCGGGAAAGCTTGTTTCAGGATGCTGGTTCACAACAGATCGGATTTTTGCTCGGCAACTGTGGCGTGTCACTCGCTTTGACTTCCGAAGCTTGCTTGAAAGGCTTGCCTAAATCAGCGACTGGTGAAATTGTGAGCTTCAAGGGCTGGCCGAAACTTACTTGGCAAGCTGCTGAAAACCTCCCGAAACCCCCGAAAGATTGGGTTCCGCCTCCGAGAATCGCTGACGATGCCGCTGCATATGTTGAAGTGAGATTCTTGTTTCATTTATGGGCTATATTCCGTTTAATTGTTTAAAAGTTATGTTCTTTTCAACGTATGATCAGTTTGTAGGCGTTTTGTTATACATCAGTCTTCTTTCATTGCGTTAAGTATGTCACGGACAAAGATGGATCGGTCATGGGAGTCACAGTCACGCGAAACTCGATGCTTCAGCATTGTAGAACATTAACAGCTGCGTGCAATTACACGGAAGGGGAAGTGATGGTGTGTGTTCTGGATTTCAAGAAGGATGTAGGATTGTGGCATAGTGTTCTCTGTGTGAGTGGGAAAAAGTACTCCTTGCGTATTCGAATACATTTTTAATATTTATCGTCCTTCAGAGTGTTTTCAATGGAATGCACGTCATCTTTGTTCCGTACGCATTAATGAAAGTCAATCCAGCCTCATGGATGCAGATGATCACGAAATTCAAAGGTATTTTTGATCTATGATAGTTGAGCGCGGAAGAAGTGAGTTATGGTTTTTTTTTAAACTTCGCAGCAAGTATTGCTGTTGTGAAAAGCAGAGATCTGCATTGGGGTCTATTGGCGACGAAAGATCACCGAGAAGTAAATTTGTCGTCATTGAGGTTGTTGTTGGTGGCAGATGGCGCAAATCCCTGGTCACTTTCGTCGTGTGATCAGTTCCTTTCAGTTTTCCAAACAAAAGGACTCCGACCCGACGTCATATGCCCCACCGCAACATCTCCGCAAGCTCTCACAGTCTCTATAAGAAGGTGAGGGTAAAATTTTAATTTTCCTAGCTCGCGAAATTGTGACTTTGGGATCAAGTACTTCGGGGATTTATTAAATTACTGCTTGTGATCGTGATGTTTATTGAACTTTCAAGGCCAGGAAGAGCGGGCGTGAATGCTACAGGTCGCGGTGTTCTGTCAATGGCTGGTCTGAGTTACGGCGTTGTTCGAGTTGATCAGGAGAACTCGTTGACGTCCCTGACCTTACAGGATTGCGGCCAGGTCCTACCAGAAGGTAAATTCTATGCGCTTATTGTGAAAAAGATCACAATTTTGTATAGCCAAAGCATCCTTTAGTTTGAATTCAACTATTTTAGCCTGTATACTGTACTGGGCTGTATCTAATTTTCTGCAATTTGCCTTTTTTTAGTGAGGAAGAAAATTTAATTCTCGACAGTCGCCTATTTTTTCGTACGAAGGCAGCGGCAACGTTTGTTCATGGTTTCTGTGATTGACGGTCGAGTCTCATGATTTATGCTATTCCTCAGCTGTCATAGTTGTTGTCAAGCTGGACGGACCGCCACACCTATGCAAAACTGACGAAGTTGGCGAGCTTTGCATTCATTCAGGCGTTACGGGGCGAGAGTTTTGGGGACTTCCCGGTCTAACAAACAGTGTTTTCAAGGTTCAGCCTTTGGGTTCTGCTGAAGAAGGGCGAAAGCCAGTCTCAGTGGAAGTAACGCCAGCTGCCGGAGAACAACCCGTTTCCTCTACTGAGTCAAATTTTGTACGTTCTGGGCTTCTTGGATTTCTTGGACCGGTGAGCGGAAGTTTTTCATGCTTTACTAATCAATGCAAGGTTGCATGTGTGTGACGCAATTGAGGCTTCAAATATGCTAAAGAAGATAGTTTTGTGAAATAAAAATTATTTAAAACTAAGTGGAAGTATTCGGCGCTGTTCTATAACGATGATACGGCGGCGAAAGATATCAGATACACTTTTAGTGTACCTAGTCGGACATGTTTAGGGGATTTATTATTAAATTTTGATTGAAAAGAATTTGTAGTGCAACTTTTATGCGTTATGAAGAAATCAAGAACAGAAAAAATTTGATTCGACGCTTGAGTTTTAAGCCTGTTTGTTGGTACAATACTGTACATATTTGTTCGATTGTTCCTCATATTTTCCTGTCACTTTTATTCGATTCCGTAGAAAAAATATCCCAGGAGTTTTGCCCGGTAGCTGTCGGGGGGCTTATTCGAGGTCTTGATTTGAGATAGTGATATCATTTAATTGCCTGGCTTGGAACAGGGCGGACTTGTTTTCGTGTGCGGTTCTCGGGATGGGCTCATGATGGTGAGTGGTCGAAGGCACAACACGGATGATATCATCGCCACGGTCCTCGCTGTGGAACCCATGAAGTTCATTTACCGGGGTCGCATTGCTGTCTTCTCCATCCGGGTTTTGAGAGATGAACGGATTTGTGTGATCGCGGAACAAAGACCGGACTGTACTGAAGAAGAGGTTTGTTGCTTTTTACTCCGCTGCTAGCCGTAGCGTTAAATCATCGAGGGTTGAATATGTACCATTTTATTGCGGAAATGACTGATTTTCGGAATGAGGACGACAACTATGAAGTATTTTAGTTCCGTAGATTTTCAATGGAGTTAATCCTATGATGACTATCTTGTGTAACAGAGGCGTATCTTTCGGAAGCCCTGAGGTTGTGGGAAAGTTACTCCGGGCAACTGATTCCCTTCGATATTTTTTTGTTATCACGGCTTCTTTTTAAAATTTTTCTGCCATGCCTTCGAAAAATGAGAGGCAAAATAAAACTTCGAACTAACCAAATTGCCAAAATAACCATGGTCTCGGCAGAAATACGAGCGTGAACTTTCTTCTAACCGTTAATATTAATGTATTAGCGCGTAATGATAAGGAATTGAACAGGTAACGTTACATTGACGTGGAGGTCAATTCCAATACTAATTTTATTTGTGAATGATCGAAGAAAGAAGCCGCCAGAAACGGTCTCATTAGTTGTTCTATTTAACCGTTTTTGTTGAGCAAATCTTTTGTCGAGTTGATTCCCAGAAGAAAGTTTTTCTATCAACAAGAAAGACTTGTATACAATTCAATACTGTATAGTGCTTTAAACCAGGATTTCAAGCTTAAAAATTTTTTTTTCTAGAGTTTCCAATGGATGTCGAGAGTCCTGCAAGCAGTCGACTCGATCCATCAAGTTGGCATTTACTGCTTAGTCTTAGTTCCTCCGAATCACCTACCAAAAACACCTTTGGGAGGCATTCATTTGTCCGAAACGAAGAGAAGATTTTTACAAGGCAGTTTACATCCTGCGAATGTGTTGATGTGTCCGCACACTTGCGTTACGAATCTTCCTAAACCACGGGAAGTTCATTCAGGTAATTGGAATTTTTGTTGAAAAAAAAACCGAGTTGTGAGTCATGACAGTGAGTAAATGCGACGTTTTAATGGCTTTTTAAATCTTGACCAGACATCGGACCTGCCTCCGTTATGGTTGGAAATATCGTGCAAGGAAATCGACTTGCGACTGCATGTGGACGAGATCTCGGACCCGATGATGATCCGGATGGTTCGAAGAAGGTGACTTTTTCCCGCGAGTTCAGTCAGAAAATCTCTTAATTGCGTCGTTAATGGTATTTTTGATTGATCAAATTGTTTTATTTTGATGAGAGTTGTTCTAGTTAATTTCTTTTCGTTTTGATGAAACTTCATCAGATATTTTTCTGGACTGGCCCGTCAAGCGGGGGACATATGGGTTATAGCTTTGTTCCGAAAGACAAAGCAGTAAGAATTTTTTTCTGGATCATATGTTGACAGTACAGTACTAGGGTTGGAGTTATTGATGAGCCTCGCAGCTTTGAAGTAACTTGCCGGCATGTATACATTTATGTAATATAACATTTCAATGTTTTTATCGTAGTTCATTGCGGAAGTGTTGCGATGGAGGAGTCAAGTGACAGCAGATCACGTGCTGTTCACATTGCTGAACTCGAAAGGCGGCGTGAGTGCAACAATGACGTGTTCCCAGCTGCACAAACGAGCGGAGCGTGTAGCGATGTTGCTGGTTGAAAAGGGAAAAATCAATACAGGGGATCACGTGGCCTTGATATTTCCCCCAGGGTTGGATCTCATAGCGGCATTTTACGGTGCCTTGTACGTCGGTGAGTCATGTCTGTCCAAGGTTTTTTTTTTCGCATCGTTTGAGAGCCTTTAAATTCTTTCTCTACGCGGACGCCTTTTTTTTTTCACTGACTGGAGCGGTAAAGAAGATAATTGTTTTATATCACGCCGGTTTCTAGAAGAAGCGTGGGAAAGTTTTCATCAGCTTAACAATCAATTAGTCCTTCGATTCCTGGGCAGAGCTGTCAGTATATTTTGGGTTCAATACTACAGTGTACAGTATAGTTTTTTAATTGGTCCTCAGATGTCCTAGGAGGAAAAGCTGAATTTTTTTTTTCGTAATGACTGCATGATACTTCGTTGCTCTAGGCTGAGCGCGAAAAAAATACACTTTACTAAGTATTGAATGTTTTCATGCAGGCGCTGTTCCCGTCACTATCCGACCTCCACATCCTCAAAACTTGCAGACAACTTTACCCACAGTTCGGATGACGGTAGATGTCAGCAAATCAGTGTTGATTTTATCCACTGCTACTGTCATCAAACTTCTACGATCAAAGGTGAATAACTAAGTTTACTGTTCATCAGAATAAATCAAATGTTTTTCAAAGTTGAATTCACGTTGAGGGAAAGGTTCTGAATCTTTACTGATTTTTGAACCAGTTTCTTGAATAAGAATAAAAATATTTAATGCATGATGATAGTCAGCGTTTTAAATTTTTGCGAAATTTTAGTGGTACTGTATTCGTTTTTTCAACTGAGCAGGAAGCAAGTAACGTTGTTGACATCAAATCTTGGCCGATGACTCTGGACACGGAAGATATGCCGAAGCGCAAACTGCCTGCACCTTATCGACCACCAACACCGGAAATGTTGGCGTATTTGGATTTCAGGTATGTTTATTTATTATTCAAACTATCAAATGAAACGCGATACAACAATTTCTTGTTTCAGCGTGTCTACCACTGGTATGCTGGCCGGGATCAAGATGTCTCACACAGCAGCCACGTCTCTTTGTCGTGCCATGAAATTACAATGTGAACTGTATCCCAGTCGGCATATTGCTCTGTGCTTGGATCCCTACTGTGGCCTCGGATTCATTCTGTGGTGTTTAAGCAGGTAATGCATACATCCGTCTGGGAAATGAAAGTATGGTGTTGTCGACGTTTAAGTCATTGCCGATGGCAAGAAGTAATGGAAAGTAAGGTACACCAAATTGTATCCTCCGATTTGAATCGCACTGAAATGATAATAGTATTTGGATGCTATTTATTTCAAGGAATTTTCCGGTGCGCTGTATTTTTAGAATAATGTGCCATCGAAATATTTTAAGTTGGAAAATTTCGTTTGTGCGTTGATGTGTTTTAATTAACTTTGTACCCGACTCTTATGCTTCCTAAGCTAACTTTTCGTCGAGTAGTTATAGCTTTACAACCAATTAAGAGTTGGGCATGTCTCCTGCCTTTTTAACTGCGCTGTTCGTGTATGAAGTGTCAGTCAGGAATATCATAATACAGTATTGAGGGGTGGTGCAAAGTCTCAATGTCAACTGTGATACATATAGTCTATTTTTATTCATTTTTGAAATTGAAAATAGCTTCAATCATATCTCATTAAGGGGTATGTGGATGCCGTTCCAAAAATTCTCCGCTAAATTTCTTTGCCTGTTCACATGAATGGAATCCAAAAAGGAAGAGGCTTAAAACCGAGAACATAAGTAGACCCGTAGAACATCTTTTATTTCACCTCTTCGCCAAAATGTATTACAACGGGGGGATCTTTTTGGATTAGAGATTTTATGAACAGCGTTTTGCCACCAAGTACAATGGAGTACTGTATATATTTTGTAATACTGTATGTGCTTTTAAAGACGCCCTCATCAACACTCACATAAAAATTACAAATTTTCAATCAAATTCACCACCTGAACATGGTCATAAGACGCGAAACGTTGTCACAATTTTTTGTGTTACAAAAAGATATTCGTAATACACTCGCCGTAGCTCACAGAAGTTTAACGATGCTGGCTTCGTCAAATTTTGAGGGCCTAATTTTTGTACTTCCATTACTTATTCGAATAATTTATACTTTATATACAGTACAGTATATTATATATAAACTGCATTGCATCATGTCCTGTTATATTTCAGCTGACACTGGAAATTCATTTTTAAAATGGATTATTAAAATTTAAAATAAATGGAAGTATGTTCACATTTATTTTCAGTCACCTACAAATCTGCTAAGGTTAGTAATTAACAAAACATAATTGTAATTAACGACTCAGATGTTTGCGGGAAGAGTACTGTACTGCATTGATTCCCCTAACATTTCCGTGTCGGTATATCTCAGTGTTTATTCGGGCCACCACTCGATCCTGATTCCGCCGTCAGAGGTGGAAGTGAACCCGTCGCTGTGGTTGTGGACAGTGAGTCAGTGGAAGGTGCGTGACACATTCTGCTCTTATGGCGTCATGGAGCTGTGCACAAAAGGCCTCGGCTCTTCCGTCATGACTCTGAAGCAGAAGGGTCTCAACCTAGCCTGTGTTCGCACCTGCGTTGTGGTGGCTGAAGAACGCCCGCGCATCCCGCTCACCAACTCGTTTTCCAAACTCTTCTCGGCCCTGGGCCTGTCGCCGAGGGCTGTGTCCACGTCGTTTGGCTGTCGTGTGAATGTCGTCCTGTGCTTGCAGGTAACTGTTGCTTTTGACGTGAATAACCCATCAGTCGCCGCTTGCAGATTGGAAGAGTTCAGAATTGAACTAATCGAAGTCGGCGTGTGAAGAACAATTCGACTGGAAAAGAAGTCCAAAATGAGCACTGGCTAATACATTATCGCTAAATTAATTTTTGGTTTTCCCCAAGTCCGTGACCTGAGGAATAAGATTTGGTCTTTGTCTGTACATGAACGATCTGATCTCTGTTTGTCTCATTGTTATGATACATGACGCATTCTTGAAACCAATTCTTATCTCTTCCAGCTAAACACAATTTGATAGTGGTAGTTTGCAGTATACAGTTGGAGCTAATTTCAGCGCGCAAATAACTAACTTAGCATAATGCTTGACTTACCTAATTTCAACAGAAATGTATGCAAATGAAGTGAAGCATTAAAAAACTGGCAAAAAGTAATGTCAACGAATTGATTCAATTCATGGAATTGTTGCAGAGCCCAAACAGCATGAAAGTTTAACCGAGTATGTCAGTCATGTACCAAAACAGTGCTTCATTCGTGTTACCGGTTTTTCTTCAGTTTTAAATCCTTCAATCCAACTTTTTGTTGGTTAGTTGTGAGAAAATTGATCATTTTACCATTCTGTAATAGTCGTCTTACGTGGTCATCTAGCGAGGGGGAAAAAGCTATTTGACGTAAGCATGAGCAGTTGAAGGATTTTATTGATCTGTTACATTCAGTTTCACTTTTTTGGTTGATGTAATTGCGTTTAAGGTTCCAAGTATCAAATTACAGTGTTCCATTTTTGTGAAATCATCTTCGAAAATCTGAGGACCACCGCGAACGTGATGTCCAGTTCTGATTGCGGGCTTCCGCGATGTTAATTTTCCCTTCCAGGGTGCTGCGAGTCCGGATTCGACGACGGTGTACGTGGACTTGAGGGCTTTGCGCAATGACCGCGTGACTCTCGTCGAGAAAGGTGCACCCAATTCCATTTGTCTGATGGAAAGTGGGAAACTGTTGCCGGGGGTCAAAGTCATTATCGCAAACCCGGACACGAAGGGCCATTGCGGAGATTCGCATCTCGGCGAAGTGAGACGTTTTCCTCTGAATGAGAATCCTTCGACGATGCGTTTTGAGATTGCATAAGATTTTTTGCCGATACTGTTCTTACTCGGACCGTCATACGAACTCTACATGCCTGACTTGGACTGAACCTTTTTAAGAAAGTTTCTGGGATCAAAATGATGGAGAATATTTCAAGATCTAAACATCAATGGTTGAGAAAAGTGAATTATCTTGAACCAAAGGAATTGAATGTACGATAATCTGAATTCGTATCCTGCTCTACCAGCACTTATGAAAGATCACGTTAAGCATATTCCACAGGAATTGCAGAAGAAACTGCTTAGAAAGGCCAGTTAACGAATCCCGCAAGTTATAAATGATTTTTCTGGAAAGTCTGTGTTGACTAAATCATATAAATTTTTTTTTCGTTGAAGTACAGTAGATACGAAACTGTTGAACGGAAGAATTTTTTTCTCAACATTTTTTAGCCTTTGTAAGCTATTTTTCTCACTTCAGTCTCAAGATTGGGAAAATTGGTTTTGGAACAATGCCATGAATAAAACGCATTTTATTTGTTTTGATTCTGCAGATTTGGGTGCAATCGCCGCACAATTCGAGCGGCTACTTCACTATTTTTGGGGACGAGAATGCTCACACTGATCATTTTTCAGCGCGTCTAGTCACTGGAAATACTGCTGAGGTTTATGCTCGCACAGGTTATTTGGGTTTCTTACGTCGCACGGAAAGCATCCAGGCAGATGGTGGTGAGGAACTTCATTGAACATGTTTTCCAATGCAGTAGTACTGTAAAAAAATTTTTCCTCGTGCTGTGGTTGTTCAGGAATTTTTTCTTGAGTGTGCGAAACAGGAGACTCTTATCGCATGGTTTCTATGCAATGTTGCAGAGCTCCATGACGCTGTATTTGTTGTTGGGTCTTTGGATGAGACGATAATGTTGAGAGGAATGCGATTCCATCCCATTGACATTGAAAGCACAGTCCTTCGCTGTCATAAGAAAATCTCCGAGTGGTGAGCAACGATTGATCATTCTTAGTGTTTTTCTTTCTTCCTATTTTCCCCCTTTTACTCTAATACAATGTTCCCCAACCTTTTCGGGCCCGCGGAAAGGCAAATTTCCATAATTTTTTTGTGGCAAATTAAAAAAAAAGTTCTACGGACCGGCTAAGTTTTTTTTTAATTTTTGCACACTCTAAAAAATGTTTGCCTGGAATACTTTATGACAGGTACAGTATTGAAGAAGTTTCAGTTTTTATTTTTAAATTAAGTTGAACTAATCAAACAGGTATTGTGGGATGTCTTCAAAGAATTAGAAAGGTGCGCTTAAAAAAAACTTCCCAGAATGGAAAATTGAAATAATTTATTTCATCGGGGGAAAATTCGTCTGAAGTGTTATGAGGAAAGCCAACTTTTACTTTTCATGAGATAATTTCAACTGCCAATTGTCTTGCAAAAAATCAGATAAAGATACTGCAATGTCCTTCATTGATAGTTTTGATTAATTTATTATGTCTGAATAAATTCCCCGCGGACCAGCGAAAAATGTCCGCGGATCGGCGCCGGTCCGCGGACCACGGGTTGGGGAACACTGCTCGAATGCATGTAAAATAAATTCCCAGAAACCTTTCAAAGAATTACTTTTCGATTTTTTTGGAAGGATTTTTTTAAATATAGGACGTGCTTTTTTGTTACGATTTTGACTCGATATGACAGTAGATTTAGGTTGATTTCACTTGCAAGAAGATGAAAATTATTTAGTCTTGATCCGCAGCTTTTTTTTTCGATGAATTTCATCTGGGAATGTGTACCCTTTAAAATTGAAAGCAAGATTCGGTGAACTCGACTATTTCTTTTTCTTCAGGAGTTACGGAAAACGAATGACGGCTATTGGCAGAACATTTCATTTATTTACAATATTTTGAGATGCACGAAAATTGTGGGTATCGTAATTCGTAGGGTCAATTTTTTCTGGTACAACGGCTTTTGACGTTTGTTGAAGATTTGCTTTAAATGTACGGAACGCGGAAACTAATGGAATTTGCGATCTTCACCTTTTTTAGTGCGGTGTTCACATGGACAAACCTGCTGGTCGTCGTAGTGGAACTGGACGGGTCGGAAAGCGAAGCCCTTGACCTGGTGCCACTAGTTACGAACGGAGTCGTTGAAGAACACCAGCTAATTGTCGGTGTCGTCGTGGTCGTTGATCCTGGCGTGGTACCCATCAACTCACGCGGCGAGAAGCAACGTATGCATCTGAGGGACGGCTTCCTTGCCGACCAGCTCGATCCAATCTACGTCGCCTACAACATGTGAGGGAGAAATCGGCTCCGGAAACGGTCGGTTTTTTTTTTTTTTTTTTTACTTTTCTCACCGGGAATCAAACGATTGATTGAGTGGATTTGATTGACCTGTCATTTATGGACAGAGCATTTTTTAGCTGCTTTGCCATCATCACAATCGACTCCTCGTTAGTTGAGAATCTTGAGATACGATGTGTGTGAAGTCTCCTTCACGGTGAATACTCAAAAGGTTTTTTTTCTCTCTTGTGTCGGGGGTTTTTCTCATTCGTTAATCATATCTTGATGCGCGACTCAAAGATGCTCTCTGGAGACGCTGTGTGCTCGTTGTCAATCAACAATACCCTTTTTGTGGTTAAGGACTCTCTTACTGAATGTATCCTGAGAACTCGATCGGTTGAGTGTCGAAGAACATGTTTTTTCGGGAAGATAAATTGGTCTGCTCAGGAATTACAAGTGGAAAGCAGGCGTTAATGGACATCTGTGGAGTCTCAAGGTGGTGGTTGAATTTTCGGGAAATGAAAGACTTACTGAGGTTCAACTCCGTATTGATGCAATTTGACGTCCGATGTCTTTGAAACGGCATGAATCGTGCGTGGAAGGAAAACGGTTCCGTATGAGCACAATTTTTCATTAAGTTTTTCAATTAACTTGGTTTTGTGTACCTGCTCGGAAAAGAGATGCGATTTATGTGAACAGGGTGAAATGCGGAGGTATTTGCAGAACCGGGAGGGAATGTAATCGGCATTCGTCTCTCGACCTGTTCAGGAAAAACGGTGTTCGCTTTCTTTTCTTCCTTTTTTTTTTCGAAATGCCAGGACAAATTTTTCTGGTGCAACGAAATTGCCTTTTTCCTTGTAGTGATGGGTGGTGACGTGACAATGTTCGTAATATTCGTCGTGATCTAGGATGTGAGAAATAGTTTGGTTGATATCCACCCCGGTTTTTTTTCCCGCGCACCGGGTTAAGCGCTCTTTGAATGTCATGAAGTGCGGTTTTGTTTTGTGTCGTAAAATCTTGTAGGTTACCCGAAAGCTTCCCTCTTATGTATGTCAAACTGCCTCTGTTATTCTTCAGTGTGTCATTTTTTTCTGTGTGCACGCGAGTTTGCGCACTCCGTAAATCGGTCTTGCTGTCGTCGAAATAGCGTTTCCTAGTTGGGAGACTCCGCTTCTTTGATAGAACGCGTGCAGAATGTGTATCCAGTCAAGTTCGCGTCTTCGTTGAGTGTTTCTCGTAATTTCGTCGCCGTATTTTTGAGCAACCGCCTTTTCCGCACGGATCATCGAACGGAATCCTGGACTTCGGTTCCTTCGAGTAAAATCGGATTCACAAACTGTCTTCGGTGTTAGAAGCGTTTACAAAATGCCGAGTAGCATTTTTACGGAAAGATTTTATGAAAAAATTAAGGATATCTTACTTCGAAGGCAGTTTTTTTGGCGATGACTTTTGAAGGAAAAAAATACATTAAAACAGTTCGCTCTGCGGAGACGGGAGTTTCGCGGATACACCTGTGTTTTATCTGCACGCCCCAGAAGTGTTCGAAAGGATCGTATTTACGGTATGTCCAGCGGAAGATGAGAAAACATTTTGGAACATTCCAGTGTTTCACCTTCAACTTCGCTCTCCCGATATAACCGCATCGTTTTGGTTTTCCCATGAGTCACATGTGATCCTTATGAAATGGAATTCGATTGATTTTTTGTGTTTCTGCCTTGAAGGACTCCGAAGGCATTGTATTCGAATCCAAGTGACATGAATCCTGACGGCTCAATTTCCCCGGTTTTTTTGGCGTTAGCTCTACAATTTTATTTGAATTAATAGACGGAAGGATCGAAAGAAACGTGTAAGATTTTTATTTTGAGTTCTTTTTGACGTTTTTTTTTTAGTTGAAACTCGAGGTGATGGCGGGACGTCGTCTCTTTTATTTCGAAATTTTAATCAGTAACAGATCGAGTCATTTGTGTTGGCCATTAGAAGCGTGAAGCTGATGGTTCGCGCATCTTTTAGCTGATTGTGGTGGGGAGGAGTTATTTGTGTATTTTATTGCTTTGTTGACAGATCTTATGGATTCCGGGCGATGCATTAGCCTTGGCGTAATGAAATATAGGAATTGATTGCTCTGACGATGTGGATTATTTCTTCATTTTTCTCGGAGACAATTCCACGACATACCTGCATCGAGGAAACGAATTAACAATTACACGAAGCAATTACAAAATGTCCTGACCAATTTTCTTTGGTTCTGGCCACCCGCAAGGTAATGAACTCCCTGATTTCTTGATGATTTAGATCCATTCCGAGGAGTATGCAACATTTTTGGCTACCTCTGAAATACAGCCTTGGTGCAGAAATATAGAAATTTCGATTTTACACGCTGTTTGCGAAGAAACCCAAGAACGTGTTGAATGGGGATAAAATAAATTCGAGGTGTTCCACGATTTTCGGTATCATTTTCCAAACTGCAACGTGTTGAATTTTGGCTATTAAGTTGTTGAACTTTGGCTAAGGCAAAAGGGACGACAATGGAGCGTGAAACAATCCTTCAAAAGTAATTGAATAACAATCGTATTCGTCTAAAGCGGGCGCTTTTGTTCTCCTCACTGATTTCTGAGAATCCTGCTTGAAAAATTTCCCAAGATTTCCTAGAACACTCAAATCAACCCTGGAGATGAACTAAATGCTCCCTCTAATGCTGTAAGTTAATCTTTGTCGAAGTTTCAATTTCTGAAAATCGAATATTATTAGCGTATACTGTACGGCATATAGGAATCCGGGGTGTTCCCCATAATATGAAGTTCCCTTACATGAAGGAAAATTTCGGAATAATCCTGGTTTCAAATTGAACAGTTTTTGTGGACCCGCATTAAATTATGGAGATGAATGAATGTGGCTTGCATAATGCTTATTCGTGTATCTTTATTTCTGACTGATCGCAAAAATGTCTAGGCTAATTACCGAAGCTGATGGAGGTTTGCAAGAATTTTCATAATTTTGTACTTCTCAGTGAAAATTTGTACAAGTGGACTCTTTACAACGATTTTCCCTATAAGGTATTTTTTGTGGTCCCATAGACTCATAGAGTTCCCTCCTCATTATGTAGGAGGTTTCTACTGCGGAATTTTATCTAAAAAACTTTTTTAAATGTTTCCTTGAGTTTCTTTTCAGAAAAAGTCCATCGTTGTATGATGCTGACGTATTAGATTATATCCAGGAAATCTGATATCGTCTGGGTACAGCCACAGGGTCATAACGTCGAGTGGTCGTACTTATATCAAATGAACAAGTTCTGTTGCCGCCTTTCCTTCTTTCTATGTTTCTCGGCGGAAAGAAAAAGCCCGCTCGAATAAAATAAAACCCTCACAAATCATGTGTGCAAACAGGGACAAGTGTGGATGAGGGGAAGGGTAAGCTTTGACAACGAGGTTGCGTGCTGCTGAGATTTCTTTTTATTTTGCTCCTGTGTGCTGCTGGAGTCCGGCTGCAGCGACAAACGTGCGACGCAGAAAAACCCGCGTTGGGCCTGGTATACCGGGCCAGAACTCCGCTGCTGTAGCTGGTAGAGGTGGTGGTGGTCCTGGGGTGCAGGTAGTGATCCGCACCGCAGACCGCGTCCACCACGGCACCCGGGTGCACTTCCTGAACACCCCAGAACAGTTTCCCCATTCCCGCGTACCCCTATATTCTAGTTGATCACTTTCTTCAAATGGCACGGTAACCGACCGAATCATGATAGATTTAAAATCGTTTTCCATGAATCGTGAGAGATCCCACGGATATACGGTATTTCCTTGAAAAAAAATCTCTCAAGCTGTTTGTATAAATGGGTATCATCAAATTGAGATAAGTAATTTGTTTAGCTGTGGAACTCGAATTAGACGTGCTGCTGATTATATTCACAAATCTCTGATGATGCCCAACAAAAATTGCACAATAAGAGAAATACTGAAAAAATTTCTGCTCGAAGAGTTCACCTGCAACGTATCACGATTTTTTTCCGCCAAGAAAATATGATATGCTTCTCAGAATTAAGGCAGGTTTCATTTTAACGTGAGCAAAAGTATGAATTTCATGGAATGCATAGGAATTTATGTTGCATGCTTTGGCGTTGGGAAGGATTGTTCTGCAGTGGAATCTTCTCGGGAGACTGATGGTGGCAGAAGAATTCAAGTGAGTAAGCACCTGATATCGTTACTTTGATCAGATAACTATTTTAATTCGAATTTGAAGAAAATAATTTTTGGTACGAAACCAGATTTCTTGGAAAGACGTTTTATATATAGATGACGCTGTTTCAACATTTTCAAATAGTTCTTCTGTTTAATTGTTTTCTTTTTTGTTTTGATAACACGGTAGTGGTTCATTCAGTCACGGTCACGGCCTCAAATTATAACAATTATGAATGCAGTCATTCGCTGATATTTTAAGGAGAACATGACTCTCAATTTTCATCATTTTTTGTTAGCAGCAACAAGGCTGCAATAAAAATCAAATAATAAATCACAAACGGAAATGATTTCACGAGAATATCTTGACAGAAATTTGCCGCACATTCACAAACGAGAAGAGTGAAATTTACATGCTTTGAAAATGAGATGGAATGTGAGCCGGTGTCTCGTGCCCTCAGGCGAGAAGTTATTTCGAAAAAAAAAAAAAATCGTCGCAAATGAATCAAGCTATCGCTCGATGTCGCAAAAAATTAATGTTTTTTTCAATGCAGATAGTGAGGCAAAATTATTTATTATTCTTTAGTGAATGTGATAGCCATGCCATTTCGGTGAATGCAAACTTGAGTCTTCGAGGAAAAATTGCCTGAGAACAGTATAAATTTTAATAAATTCCCAGCTTATGGTTCGAAAGCTATGGTTCACAACAATTTCTGAAAACACTACGAAACTGTATAGGTACTGTAAATTGTGTTGCGTGCATTTAAACGGTATTCCCATCCCGGAATAAGTTAATTTTACAAATTCAGTATACACACCATTTCCTTAAGACAATTGATTTTTCTATTCGAAACGGAATAATTTAGAATCGTTATCTCTTTTGTTGGAATACAAGTGTATTTTATGGACACGTAGCGTGATATGCCAAAGTGACCTTCCACCAAAGGTCAGATGGCAATAATCCAGTGAAACACGTCAGGTTTTTGCAACCGTTATACAAATCGATTCATGATTGAAAAAAAAAATTGAAAATACTGTGCTCCTTTCGGTGACGCGAGTTGGTGGCACAGTATATACAGTAGATTCAGATGCGAGGAGTCGAATCCACGAAAGATAAATTTTTGAGAGGGTTAATCATCAATCCATTGATCCGTCCGCGGAGTTGGTCCAGCGATGTACGTATATTACCTCAGAGAATGTCAATAATCCCGTACAAATTACAGTATGCACACATGCGTGCGCACATCAGTTTAGCACAGTACTATATTTTCTAAAGATACTGCCTTGTAAACTTCTTAGAATATGACGAAATTTATTTTTAATCAGGGTTTTCCGAGGCATTTGTTTTCTTGTGCTCATTATCACCTGATTCTATCCACTTGGAAAGTCGTCCTCGATCCTGGTGAGTTTCTCAATTAGTAATGCATGTTTAATATCCCAATAGTTACCTAATTATGTTCCCGAGTGTGTTAAGCGTTCACCCTCATTTTGGCTAGTCATTCGAAAGAAATACTGTTGAGACAAAACAAACAAGAAATGTTCGCGAAAAAAGTGCCAAAAATACGTGCATAACAAAATTTAATGAATTCGTTCTACGCTCTGTTACAAAGACTTGAATGGATTCCAGATTACATGAGCGTGGTTAAAAATTCATTCAATGGTGAGTTGACACAGCAAAACATCAGATGCCAAATGAAAATCATTTACAGTATTGAGTTTATTTATACAGAACAATACATGAGTGTTCCGCCAAGAAACGGCTCGAACGCAAATTGGAAATAACTAAAATTTTTACTTTGGATTAGATTCTCAAAACAACCTCTGGAAAAGGGTACTTTATTAACCCAACGAATTTACGATGATTAATTATGCAGGAAAAGTGATGTACAGATGTCATGAATGTTCTTGTACTTTAGCCTTTTTAACGACTTGTTTCGATCCTCCGTGAAGACCAGATTTGCAAGGAAGAAAATCCGATCTCAACGCGTATTTTTCCTCGGGATTTGCAAAAAAATTGGGCTTAAAAAACACCCGGAGCAGCGTCAGGATGTCTTTAATCACCCCCTTTTTAACAGCTTGTGAAGAAAGCAGCTGCTGCTATTAAAATAAGAGTTTTTTTTTCAACTTTTACGCCGCAGTAGCCGCAAGGCTTTAGCACAGTAAATATTGAACGCCGTTTTACGCGTGCATGAAAGGAAGGATTTGAAGGATTTGCATAGGAAACCTATTCAATTCCTGAGGCAATTACGGAATTATAGCTTTGCTAAATGAGGAAACCTTTCTAGGACATAACTAGTCTTCCTTCATTAGTCGCGAAGAAAACTTCTGGGTTGCTGAGTACCTGTTTGCGAACACGCAGTCCCCGAGACTACGCGGGAAAAATAAAACCATGGTTGATAATTGGATGCCCTTCGTCACGCTTCGTGGGCAATTCTTCGTCGTTGAAAATCTAAAAAAAAACCACGTTCTGCATTTCGAATGTGTTTTTTTTTGTAGAAAGATAAAGGACATCAATGATCGGTATTTCGTGCGAATAAGATGCCGTGAGAAAATGCTGCGGCGAATAAAATTTTGGGGTAGGAAATACAGCAAAGATGACGTGAAAAAAAAACTGTTGCTTTAGTGAAGTCTAAGAACAGTGGACAAATAAACGAGAATATTATTATTAAATATTTTCGCAAGGAAACAAATTAATGAATTATTCAGCGATCAAAAACTGTAAGTAAATGTCGAAAACGCATAAAATAAAATGAAAACGGCCTTTCCACAAATATTTTTCCTTTATTGCTATTTATATTTATTCCTACGTGTGGCTCTTAAAACATTGATGTTTCGGGGGTTTGCATTGTTCCCTAAGATTTTTAAAAATTCTGCACTGTGGATACTGATGGTATTTATATTGTTCTGATATTTTGTTCATGTTTGTGCCTTCCAATTTTCACTTAATCGAGGGTGTGTAA